AGACTCTTGCAGTTAATTCGGGGCCACCTTGGTAATCTAAACTAATCTTCCCTTTTCAAGATCCTTGACTTAATCATATCTGTAAAGTCTTTTTTTTTTTCGAGTTGGAGTCTCACTCTGTTGCCCAGACTGAAGTGCAGTGGCAGCTCCCGGCCACCGCAGCCTCGACCTGCTGGGCTCCGGTGATTCTTCCGCCTCAGCCTTCCAAGTAGCCAGAATTATAGGCATGTGCTACCACGCCCGGCTGATTTTTTGATTTATTGTAGAGATGAGGTCTCGCTGCCCAGGCGGGTCTCGAACCCATGGGCTCAGGCAATCCACTCACCTCAGCCTCCCAAAGGCGTGGGATGACAGGCTGAGGCACAGAGCCCGGCTTATAAAGTCCTTTTTACCACATAAGGTAACGTAGTCTTCAGATTCTAAAGAATAGGCATTGGATGTCTTTGAGAGGTTATTGTTATTACATTTGTCACGGTGGTGAACAACTGAGCCTGGAGCATTTTGTCATGCCAAAAAGCCAGGAGCTATCAAAATTACGATTTTTGTATCACAAGGACTTTCAAACAAACCTGGAAGGGCTCATTGTTCAAAAATAGGCCAATTTGAGTGTCAAGAAGGACAATAATGCGATGCATTGAAACATATCAAATACATGTATTTGCATGAGTTCAAATGATAATTTAGGAAAAATAAGTGAGTTGTTCATTATAGGAGAGATTAATGAACTGATTCATTATATTGATTTTTTAAAACTGTACTTTTCATTTACAAATATTAGAAATTGATTGCTTTATTGGTTTTCCATATTCTAGTATGAGTTATAAAGAAACAGATCTAGAGATAAGTTCCCAGCCCATTTGAAGATAATTGAGCTTTTAAAAAATGAAATTCCGCCCCCTTCCCTACCTTGGGGAAGTGAATTTTCTCTTTCTCTGTCTAATTTAATTTTTAAAGAAACTATTTTCTTTAAAAATAAAAATAAAGAAATAAAATTCTTATTTATTTCTTTTAACTGCTAGGTAGTATATCTAAAATGAATATATTGTGTTTACAGTTTCTTATTAATTAAAACCTTAATGTAGTTTCTTAGTTTTGGTTTATTGCAATCCTGCAATAAATTCTTCATCTTTTCAAATACATGTATATTTATAATTTTGTTCTGGCTGCAATGAGTGGAATAATTCAACAGAGTAACACCACATGAAGAGACAATCATCTTTCTTTAAATTTTCTTCTCCTGATGTGATCAATATTAACAGATGGGTTTATATATTTTCACATCAATGCTCCTGCTCACAAAAACATTTACACAAAGCGTTAATGCTTTCTTTTTTGCATTTTTTGTTTACTAAATGAGTGATTTGAACTTAACAAAATAAACTGCAGTTTATTATTTTTAAATGATAGCAAACATTTGACACTCTTATTCTGTAGATGAAAATCTAGTTTAAGAAATGTTACATACAACCAAATAGCTTAAAAAATTTTACATACATCCAAATAGTTTAAAAACTATTACATACATCCAAATATATATATGCATATGTATGTGTGTGTATCAGTTTTGATGCCTTTTAATTTGGGGTATAAATTATGTATGTTTATACCCCAAATTATACAGACATGAGGGGAAACCCAAAAATTTAGAATTAGTTTTTTGGAGGGTGAGATCCTTGGAGTACACTCAGAATTTGTTCCTCTGGATCAAACGGTCAACTAAAGTTTTTATCTGGAAGCTTTGAGAAGGTTGAGCCACGGTTTGTGAAAGTAATGTCCCGAGATATGGAAAACAAGTAACTAGGTCTTCCACTATTACAAGGCACCTGCCTAGCTGGCATGGTGGTTAACGCCTATAATTCCAGCACTTTGAAAGGTCAAGGATCTAAGAGGATTCTCTGAGCCCGCAGGTCTGAGACTAGCCTGGGCAACTTAGTGAGACCTCACCTCTACAATAAATCAAAAAAATTTAGCTGGGTGTGGTGGTGTGAGACTGTAGTTCCAGCTACTTGGAAGTCTGAGATGAAAATATCACCTGAGCCACAGCAGGTAGAGGCTGCAGTGGCCGGGAGTGAGCCATTACCCTCCAGTCTGAGTGACAGAGTGAGACTCCAACTCAAAAAACAAAACAAAACAAAACAAAACAAAACAAAACAAAACAAAACAAAACACAATGCATCTGCCCACACCATGCTGAGTGCTCAGCAATTTTTGACCAAAACCGGTATGACTCCTAGGTTCCACCTTCCCTATTTATCCAGTATTACCCGGAGCGACTTTTTTTTTGGTTTTCCTACATGAAAAAAGGCCTCAAAGAGAAATGTTAGGCTGATGTGGAAGAGGTGAAACAAAAAAATATCAGAAACGCTAAAAGGCATCAGAATTGATGAGTTCAAAAATGGTTTTGAGCTGTGGAAAAAGCATCTCAATAGGTGTATTGCTTCAAACAAACAATATTTTGAAGGTGATTGAGGTTTAAACATGTAAGAATAAATACACAAGTTTTCAATAAGTAAATTCTTGTTTTTTTGGGTCCCCCTTCAATGTTTTATTTGGATGTTTTAAGTCTCACTTAACCTTTTCTTCTCTCTGATTTCATAATTTATTTCCTGCTGCGGACAATCTGCACTATAATTTCTCTCCCTTTAGTATTCTACATGTTCAGTGTCCATAAATCAATCAATAAAATTTTTGCAATATATATTCTATACATACAACGAATATGCACATTCTCATATTAAAATTTTCTATCCAAGAATATTGATTTTTTGGTTCAGATTATATTTTTATTCTTTTAAAAGATTTTATACTTTTCTTTATCTATACAATCTGCTTTTATGTTAAATTTATTCTCTTGACAGTTAATTTTTATAACTATTATGAGTGAAATAATATTTGCTCATTGATTTGCTGATGCTTATTTCTATTACAGTGTACTGATTTAAAAATATTTTCTCATTTTTTTCCAGCTAGAATATCAAATTATTTTATTAATTCTTCTAATTTTATGACTGTTTCTTGAACTTTTTGGATATGCAAGAATGTCCTCAGTATAAAAAAATCCAACTTTATCAAAAAAATTTTTTTTCCAGTCAAAGTCTCACTCTGTTGCCCAGGTTGGAGTTCAGTCACATACTCATGGCTATGGCAGTCTTGAGTTGCTGAGCTCAGGTGATCCTTCCACTTCAGCCTTCCAAGTAGCTGGCACTACAGGCACCCGCTGCCATGCCTGGCTAATTTTCTAAAAAATTTGTTGTAGACATGAAGTCTAGTCAAAGTTGCCCAGGCTGCTCTCAAACCTCTGGACTCAGGCAATCCTCTCAACTCCATCTCTGAAAGTACTGGGATTACAGTTGTGAGCCACCATACCCGGTCACATTTCATCAATTTTAAGACACCATCAATTCTAAGACATGCAATTATTTCATGTACCATTAATGAAAAGAAAATATTGCAATCAAACTATGAAAATGGTAGATATCATTCATTATATGATATGTCTCCATTTCAGAAAAGCAAAATGTTAATACAATAACTTTATAATCACTCAAATACAATTGTTTTGTTTATTCTTGTACATATTTTTCCTGATTATTTTGTTTTCTTCTGCTATTGCATGCCCAAGATCTTTCAAAAAAATATTGAGCACATCTGGTTTTTACTTATACACATTCATTGGCATGGTATATATCTATGATATCATATTTTTCAAATAACTAGCTTTTCTATTTCTTTAACTTATTTAGTAGATTCCATTTTCTACCTTTAAGAAGTTACATTTTAAACTTTTGTTTATTATATATTTCTCACACTTATTAGGATAAGCAGGATTTCCTCTCTTTTGGTCTAGTTTACATTTATGTAAATGATGATAAATTTAAGACAACAGAATTCCTTTTGACTAGGTTTTTGGGACTCCAGTTAATTTTCAATGACATGTCTGCATTTCATTGCTTTTTATATAGCAATTAGTTAATTTGATATGAAAATACACCACTTATATTTGCGTGGATTTTTCAATTCTTTATATCTTACTGTTTAGATTATTATGAGATAATTTGGACTTTAAAACCTCAATTTGTTTTCGTAAACGCTGAATTTATAGGCACAGGCTATCAAGCACCCTTAGAAATGTTTTTCTCTTGATTCATAGCTGTGTATGTGGCAGACAGTATTTTTCAGGAAAAAACAAATGTAGTCTTTCAGTGGAAATAGAAATGATTTTTAATTCAAGCTTTCAGTGAGTGTGCAACAATTTCACAGTTCTGACTTGTTATTGCATCATTTCAAGTGTTCTCACCACACTGATCCTGAGACTAAACCCAAGACTTTGGGATCCATAATGGACCCCATCACTCCCAGTTTTCCAGTCTGTGCTCTTCTGAGCATTCACAAGTCATCTTGTGGGTTATTGCTCCAATTTCAATTGAATTTTTGTTTTTGACCCCTTTATTTACAACTTTGTAGGCTTTCAGCTATAGATTGAAAAATATTTATTAAATTTATCCAGTGCTTCCATGTGTTTGAAATAGTAATAGTTTTCTCTATTTTCTCAATATTGGAAGTGCTATTGTTTTTCCACAGGCATTTAAAATTTATTCATTTTAGATATTTTACACAAAATAACTTTCATTACATGTGTTTGAATTTTAGTGCTGTGTGTATTTGAGAAGAACTACAAAGGATTTTACCCTGTATTTTCCTGAGTAGAGTAATGAAGTTTATTATATATTAAAATATAATATTATGAGGTAAATTTTATTTCAAAATGATATTTTGAGAAATATATTTAGATGTTCTCTTCATGACATGTGAAACCATCAGACATTGTAAAGACACAAAGAGAGCCTAAGCAGGACTCAGTGAAAGCTAGTTTTAAAAAGTATGAGGAAACTAACATAACTCAGTTGTATAACATTAAAAAAAATAAAGGCTATGCTCCAAAAATAAAATGTCTGTGGACATTTATCTTTTCTTGTGAGAAGTTTTAAGAATATTATTTTTTACTTAGTTGAAAGCAATGCAATTCTCTTGATTGCGTCTTTGAAAGCTTTCCTAACTTGATTATTTCTCAGAGTATAAATAAATGGGTTCAATGTAGGTGAAATAGAAGAAATGAGCAGTGAAACTATTTTATTAATAGTCACTTCTTCCTTTGCTGTAGGATTCATGTAGATGAAAATGCATGTGCCATAGGTGATGGAAACCACGATCATGTGGGAAGAACAGGTGGAGAAAGCCTTTTTCCTTTGCTGGACAGCAGGGAATTTGAAAATGGTCTTGATGATGTAAGCATATGACAGAACTACACACGTTAAAGTCATATTCAGGGTCAGCACAGCACAGATGATAACTGTCTGTTCCATGAACCATGTGTCTGAGCAGGAGATTTTCACTAAGGGAAATGCATCACAGCCAAAATGATCAATTATGTTAGAGTCACAAAATTTTAGATTCAAACCCACACCAAGAGGAGGGATTATTATCCATAAGCCAGCCATCCAACAGCAGATGATGAGAATCCTACAGACTCTGTTGCTCATGATGGTCACATAATGCAGGGGTTTACAGATGGCCACGTAGCGGTCATAGGACATGGCAGACAGGAGAAAAAATTCCGTAACTCCACAGAGGTCGATAAAAAACACTTGGATGACACAAGCATTGTAGGTAATGACTTTGTCACCTGTTGCTATGCTATACAGGTATCTAGGAATACAAGCAGATGTGAATGATATTTCTAAGAAGGAGAAATTTTTTAAGAAAAAGTACATAGGTGTTTTAAGGTGGGAATCCACCAAAGTGAGGGTGATGATTGTCAGGTTGCCAGTTACACTCAACATGTAGGTGAGAAATAGGAAGATAAAAATCAGAACCTGCAGCTGAGGGTCATCTGTGAGTCCCAGAAGAATGAATGTTGTTACTGTACCATTTCTCATTGTGGACTTCTGCTTTCTCTTCAATCTGTATGTGATATTCAGAGAATTTTTTTAGAGATTATTTTAACAGTTTTAAAACTCAACGTATTCAAGATTTAATCTGCTTATGGTTTGCCTATATGACTAAGTAGATTGCTGAGAAGGCATAGTTTTATTTTTTAATTTTTTTTAAAGATGTGGGTACAATTCAGGGTTAGGTATACAAATGTTAACTATGCAGGTACCCTTGTTGAGAAGGTACAATTTTAAGGGTAGCAAATTTTTTTGGCTCTCAGATTTCTTACCTACTCACAAGCCAAATCATGAAATTTCATGTTTTCTGGACATTTTGGGTCTTTTGGAAAACAATGTTCATATAGAACATAGAATTTGCGTTCACAATATAGACTCTAGATGAAAAATTGAGGAATTTTTGCCAAAAGAAGATTTTTGTCTATTGGATTGTTTTTAGGTTAAGTGTATTTCACTCTAAGGAGAAACTTTTAGTCATGAGGACCCCTCCCTTCTCCACCTCTGACTATGCAGCTCACCTTCCCCTGCCGAATACATGAATTATCTTTATATATGTGCTTTTACTACTAACACAAATGATGAGTGCCTTCTCTTCCTTCTCCGACCTTCCAGTCAATGAGTTAGCTTATTTTTATTGATTCAACACCAATAGTGACTCAAACGTTTCCAATTACATAATCAATATCTCAAAGCTTGAGGTTTTCTGGTATAAGAGAATAAAAAAATATGTTCCCCTTCTGCATCTAGTTCATTTTATCCACTTCATTGTTTATCTCACTGTATTCCTTTTTTTGTTGAAGTTGGGGCAGAATTGGTAGTGATTATTTACACACCTTACAATGTTGCCAAATAAGAAAGAATCACTGATTAAAAATCATGGCTTACCCAAGTGTTAGAATTCTCTTGGGAAATTTAGGTTCTCACTCAATAGCTATATCAAATGGAGATGTAGAACAGTTGTTTTTTTATAGCTCACCTACCTTTCTTACAACTTTTTTCCTAATTTCTCAAGTGATGTATGCACCACTGTGAAAACTTAGCCCTTCAAACTTTGAACACAAACCTATTCCCAAAATACATCTTCTTTTTTCCAAGATACTGTAATTTATTCTATAAGCTAATAAACAGATTGACTCTAAAGTGTAACTTTTCTGCTTATTTTATTTTTCTAACAAATGTTCAAAATGAATACAGGAATCTAATTAGATCTTGTCACTTAGGTCAACATATTATTCATTTTTGAGGGATAGGGAGGAGATACAAAGTCTTGTTTATGCAGTTTGTACATACAAAAATACTTTATCACTTGAAGTTGAATATATACCAAAAGTTACCCCAGTTATTTCTTCTATTAAGTTAAATTCAGATATATTTATGTATCTTGTGCATAAAAATCTCCCAGACAATGACATTTACCTATACAAGGGAAATTCATTCCAAAAAATTACATTTTATGAATACATTTTTAATACATTAAACATTAATAAATTATCACTGAAATCCATTTTCTTTTCCAGGGAAAAATATAACCTAGATTTTGCAAAGAGAATTACAATCAAAGAGACAAACTTTATCATACTTACTCTTCTGTTAGCATATCAGAGTTTTTGTTGGTTGTTGAAACACAGCAATATTAAGGCTTCAGTGTTAAAAGTGGTATATTTATAAAAATATTTATGTCTTCATAGTCACTCGCATGTTTGGGAATGCATAGAACTCTCTATGATTTGCATTCCCAACAAACTGAAAAGACTTCCTCACGATGGACTTAGAGCTATTATAAGCCTCCAAGTAATGTCTTACTAGCTCCATCACTGAAAAGAAAATACATTAAGGGCTGAGTAATGTTAGGAACGTTACTGTTAGGAAGATATTTTAAATCATCAGAACAGAGAGAAATGCTTTTACAATATCGGGCATGACTTTTTAATTTGCTAAAACTGTTACTAATAGAAAAAAACAAACGGTCCTTGGTGACCTACATTCAAAAGCCATTAATCAATTTTCTGAGTAATGAAGTTGGGAAAAAAAAAACCCTCAGAAAAAAGTAAACAAACAAACCAAGTAGCAGAAGACTGTGCCCTTAGAGATAGGATGATACAGCAGCATTTGACACAGGTCAGGAGGACAACTATATCATTTAAATTACATAGCTCATTTAAAAAAATTCCTACTAAGGCATTTGGGAGACTTTAATTCTTTATTATATGAGTAGTATCTTGGTTGTTTAATCAGTTGCCACAGTCTGCCTATAGCTTCCAAGGCCACCAGGGATTGGTCATGCACTTAAGTTATAAAGAGCAGGAGAAGCCAGGGAAGACTGCATGGATGTTTTTGTAGGATAAACCTGGAAGTAATGATCATCCTTGTGTCCATGTTCCAGTGGGCACAACTCAGTAATGTCATCCTGCCCATAGTCAAGGCAGGCTGAGGAATGCTGGTTAACTCTGTTTCCAAGAGGAAAGAGAATGGGTTTTGGAGAACACAGTGGCAGTCTCCAAACAACAGTTCTCCACTATCTGAGTTCTCTCATACCTGGAGAGGCATAAACACTAGAAAAGGTTTTTTCCACATTCATTGCATTCATGAGGTTTTCTTTTGTGTGAATTCTTTGATGTATAGTTAGGGTTGTCCAACAGTAGAATGATTTCCCACATTTATTACGTTCATACGATTTCTCTCTTGTGTGAGTTCCCTGAAGCCTGTTGTGTTATTCTGGCAAAAAGGTTTCTTCACATTCTTTACATTCCTAGGGTTCCTGTCCTGTGTGAGTTCTCTGATGTACAGTGACAACTGACCTCCCTCAGAAAGTTTTTCTACATCTGTTACATTCATAGGGTTTCTTCACTGTGTGCATTCTTATATGTACACTCTGAGCTTACTTTACAAAACATGATTTCCCACCATAAGATTCACAGGGTACTGTATTTGGCCTCTGTGTGGGTTTTCTCACGAACAGTTAGGTATGACTTATGAAAAACAGATGTCTCATATTCAGTATATGCATAGGGCTTCTCCCCAAATGTGTTTTCTGATTTGCTAATAAAACGTTTCTCATATTTGCTACATTTATAAGGTTTCTCTCCTGTGTATATTTGATAATGTTAATAAGGTTAGACTTTCTATAGAAAGTTTTACCACATACACTATATTCAAAAGTGTTCCCTTCTCTCCTGAGTTCTCTGAAGCTGAGTAAGGAGTACTTTCTTGTTGAAATTATTCTTACTTTGTTTAGCGTCATGGTATTTATTTAAGCTCTATAAAGACATAAGAGTGTTCATTTCTTACAAAGCTTTTCTCTCATTTGTTACATTGATAGTGATTCTCTCCTACCTAACTTATCTCTTTTGCAATGAGAGCTGACTTATCACAGACTTTTTCATATTTGTTATATTTACAGGAGTTCTCTCCCATATGAATCCTTTTATGTACAAGAAATATTGCCTCTTTGTCAAAGGGTTTCCCTTGTCCACTATATTAAAAAAACAAAAACAAAACAAAACACACTGCTGCCCTGTTTGAACTTTGTGATTCTGACTAAGAGGCTCACAATGACTGAGTGACTTCCCAGCTGTGTTATGGTCATCAGGTTTCTCTCCATACTGCATCTCATCAGACTCACTAGGGAGAAAAGCACATTCTGACGTACACTGAACTCCTCAGGCCTTATTCCTGAATACTTTTTCATTCTTTACAATCAATGTGAAAACACAGTTTGAGCTGGAATCTAATTTTTTTCCTAATCCAACTTCTTAGTTGATGTGTTGCTGTTGGTAATGACAGTTTGCTACAAGTGTCTGTCTTGATTTTCCTGGCTGGTCTCATCTCAGGTGAGGTCATGTAGTACCTTTTACTGTTTAAGGTGGAAAATGTTGTCTTTTTCAGTTCTTTGGCCAAGCAAATATCAATGTACTTGGTTTCTGTCATTTCTGAGAAGATTTAAGAACTGGCACTTGTTTCACTGTCTTATTTTTTTTCTTCCAGCCCTAATGACCAGAAATGTTTCATAAATACCACTCCATAAGCCTGAGGTCACAAAGAGATTTGCAGAAAACCTTGACTGTTTCAGCCCCTCAGAGGTTGGGGCCATTGGTTACCACGTTATACGCTGCCCCACTGCCTGATATGCAGAGAACCCCTCATCATAAGAATTATTAGAAATGCATAAAACAAAATATAGCGAAACCAACAACCTAATGGAAACATCAGCAAATTATGACAGTTCAGTCCCCGTCTTCCCAAAATCCAGTATCTAAAAAAATATAAAAAGATGTACAGACTCTCATGAACACATAACCCAGAGCAGCACTGGGAAAGCTGTAGGGTCTGGAATCTCCCTTTGGAAGACAGTGGGACTGCTGCTGTAATTTCGGTGAGCTAGGCCCCCAGAAATGGAATTTCTAGGTCAAAGTATGTGCTCTACTAAGTTGTAGGTTTGCCAGGGGAGGGAGGATGGGCATGTGGCAACATAAAGGATACCTGGTCCTACACCAGGGAAAGTGAGGGCCGGTTGGAGGACCAAACTTCACATGCATGTAGATTACTTACATACCTAATCCGGATTTATCTCACATCTCTATAATAAAATAAAGTTTTTAAAAAAAGATCATTGTTTTGCTAGGTGCTTAGCAAAAAGCTTTAGCAATTTCAGTTTCCACATATTCTGTAGAATAATAACTTGTCCCTCTGATCTCACTCAATAACAAGTTAAAGAAATTATTTCAACATTGGCAGCTTAATTGGTGTAAAACATAACTCAGGATAAATTTACTTGGCATTAAACTGGTTACTAATGCAATTGACAATCATGTTATTTACTAAATGGAATTTAATATTCTCTAAATTGCCTGCTTGTTTTTTTTGCTTATTTTTATTTGCAGTGCTCATTTACAAGATCTCTTGGTAGACTTTGGGCATCATCCCATTGTAAGCCACTGTTTTACATTTAGTTTCAATAATATTATTTGACATACTTTTTTTGTAGTATC